ATAGGTAAGTAGATAAGTAAATTGAAGATGATAATGATAATGCTAAATATGTGTTTTTTTTTATAATATACAAGTTTGCTTCTCCTTTCGAAAACGTTTTAGGTAGTTTTGAAATGAATGAACTTCACAGATGCAACGTCCACAGTTATATTTCTTCGCCACGTTAGCACAAGCTCAACATTTTTTGATTGTTCTATAGTCCTCAACCTACAATTAGTTTACACATACTTATGTCAGATTGTGAAAAAAATCTGACGTATTTGGTAAGTCTTATTACCATTTTATTGAATAATAATGACTATAATAATCATGATAATGATAATAATAATAACAATAATGATAATGATAATAATAATGATAATAATTATAACAGTTATGATAATAATTGTAATAATAACGGAAATAATGATAATAATAATAATAATAATAATAATAATAATAATAATAATAATAATAATCATGTTAATGATAATAATGATGATAATATTCCAGGTTCATAATAGCCCCCAGTATACCTGACGGAATAAGTTATCTGTATGCACCAGGCGATGTACACTGTTCATTTTTCAATTTGTCGATGTTGCATAAAGGTGGCCATTGTGTTATTGTCTAACCGTGTAGTTGTTTCAATTGCTTTTATATTCTGCAGAAACCCGTCCAGTCACTTTCCTACAAACATCTAATTATATCAAAGAAACATACCGTTTAAAATGCCACCAATAAGCATTCAATTCAATGCAATTCAATGCAAACATCGTGTATATAAAATACAATTCAAGAAAAAAATATTAATAAACTGCTAGAAAACTTTGCACCACCTTGCTTTTAGTCTTGGGAGTTACCGTAGTGTTCTAACGCCGTCAGAAAACAAAAGGTTTATAGCGCCCAACACAAGTGGTTGCTGTGCACACCTGTATTGACACTTGCAGGCGATGGATCCGAAATAATTAGAACAGGTGAGACTTTACTCTTGTGTCGTAACCTTATGGCGATACACCTTTGTTTCGTCACGGGACTTTGAGCTCTCTGCGCATCTGCTGGACGGGTTAATGAATACCCCTGTTGCTGTTTATAGGGAATTACAGCATACCTTGTTGATATTTACTGTTTGACGGTGTGGGTCTGTCGAAATTCTTTTTGTTTTCCTTATCATTTGATATGCTGTTTATCATTGCTTCATCCTATTTATCAATGTTGCAATGATCACAGCTATAACGATATTCAAAACTAATAATGATAATAACACGTAATAACACTAGCGGTAATCGACCGGTTTCTTAAAATAGTGAGAGCCGCTACTCTGTGAATATCCATATATGATAATGATATACTGTGATGATGATGATGATGATGATGATGATGATGATGATGATGATGATGATGATGATGATGATGATGATGATGATGATGATGATGATGATAATAATGATAATGATGAAAATAATAACGGTTATAACTATAATTACTATTATTATGACAATAGTAATAATAAGAGTGATAATGAAAATAATAGTAATGATATTAATAATGGCAATAATGATGATAATAAAGATATAAATATCAATGATAATGATAACAATGGTAAAGTGATAAAAATGCAAATGACAATAATAATACCAAAAACAATATAATAATAAAAATGGCAATAATGATAATGATAATAATGATAACAATAATGGTGATATTAATAACAACTATGCTAATAAAAATATTAACATCAATAACAATAATGATAATAATAATGATAATAATAATAATAATGAGGATGATAATAATAATGATAATAATAATAATAGTAATAATGATGATAATAATAATGATAGTAATCATTATTATCATTATTATTATTATTATTATTATTATTATTATTATTATTATGACTATTATTATTATTATTATTATCATTATTGTTATTATTATTATTATTATTATTATGACTGTTATTATTATTATTATTATTATAATCATTATCATTATTATTATTATTATAACTACTTATTATTATTATTATTATTATTATTATCATTATTATTATTATTATTATTATTATTATTATTAATATTATTACTATCATTATTGTTTTTATTGTTACTTTAATAATAATAATAATAATAATAATAATTATTATTATTATTATTATTATTATTATCATTATTATTACTATCATTACAATTATAATACAATAATAATAATACCAATAATAATAATAATAATAATAATAGTAATAATAATAATAAAAATAATAATAATACTAATACTAATAATAATAATAATAATGATAATGATAATAATAAAAATAATAATAATAACAAAATAATACCAATAATAATAGTAATAACGATAATAATAATGATAATGATAATAATAAAATTAATAATAATAACAAAATAATACCAATAATAATAATAATAATGATAATAATAATTATTATTACTATTGTTATCATTCTCATTATTATTATTATTATTATTATTATTATTATTATTATTATCATTATCATTATCATTCTTATTATTATTATTATTATTATTATTATTATTATTATTGTTATTATTGTTATTGTTATTATCATTATTATTATTATCATTATTATTATTATTATTATTATTATTATTATTATTATTATTATTATTATTACTATTATTATCATTATTACTATTATTATTATTATTACTATTATTATTATTATTATTATTATTATTATTATTATTATTGTTATTATTATCATTATTATTATTACTATCATTACTATCATTATTGTTTTTATTGTTACTTTAATAATGATAATAATAATAATTATTATTATAATTATTATTATATTATTATTATTATTATTATCATTATTATTACTATCATTATAATTATAATAGTAGTAATAAAATTTTTAAAAATGATAATAATAATAATTATTATTACTATTATTATTATTATTACTATTGTTATCATTCTCATTGTTATTATTATCATTATTATTATTATTAATATTATTATTATTATCATTATCATTATTATTATTATTATTATTATTATTATTATTATTATTATTATTATTATTATTATTGTTATAATAATAATAATAATAATTATTATTATTATTATTATTATTATTATTATTATTATTATTACTATTATTATCATTATTATTATTATTATTATTATTATTATTATTACTATCATTACTATCATTATTGTTTTTTATTGCTACTTTAATAATGATAATAATAATAATGATAACAATAATAATAATACTACTAATAATAATAATCATAATAATAATAATAACAAAATAATACTAATAATAATAATAATAATTATTATTATTATTATTATTATTATTATCATTATTATTATTATTATTAGTGTTATCATTATTATTATCATTGTTATTATTATTATTATTATCATTATTATTATTATCATAATTATTTTTATCATTATTATTATTATTATTATTATTATTATTATTATCATTATTATTATTATTATTATTATGTTATTATTATTACTATTATTACTATCATTATTGTTATTATTATTATTATTATTATTATTATTATTATTATTATTATTGTTGTTGTTAGTAGTAGTAGCAATAGTATATTATTATTGTTACTATTATTATTATGAATATCATTATTAATATCATTAATATTAATAATATCATGATTATCATTGTCATTATTATCATAATTATCATTGTCATTATCATCATAATTATCATTACTATTATTATTTTAATATCATTATCATTACTATTATTATTTTAATATCATTATCATTATTAATAGTTATAATTATTATTATTATTATCATTATTATTATTATTATGATTGTTATTATTGTTGTTATTATTATTATCATTGTTATTATTGTTGTTATTATTATTATTATCATTATTATTATTATTATTATTATTATTATTATTATTATTATTATTATTATTATTATTATTATTATTATTATTATTATTACTATTATTATTATTATTATTATTATTATTATTATTATTATTGTTATTATTATTATTTATTATTATTATTATTATAATTATTATTATCATTGTTACATAATTGTTACATATTCTTATTATTTTTATTATTGTTATCATTAGTAGTAGTGTTAATATTATCATCATTATTATTATTATTATTATTACTATTGTTATTACCATCATTATTATAACTATTATCATCATAATCATTATCATTGCTATCATAATTATCATTATCATTATTGTCTTCATCATTATCATCATCACTATCAGTGTTACTATTATTATTTTTGTTATTTCATAATCATTATCATCATTAATATTGTTACCATTAGTCAGGGAGTAAAATGGTTGAGCCAGTTGACATGGGAACAGAGCGCCTGCCTAGTCACTTTAGTCAGCGCATGTACCCTAACTCTAACATGCACATCTGAGGCAAAGGATAAGTTTGATGGAATGAAATGCAGTATCCAAAGAAAGCTTAAGAATTTGTCAAGTCCCTAGAAAAATATCTGTCTGCACACCAACAGCACATATCTGCCTCTGAGAAATGGAACCATTCAACTGTGGCCATTCAGAAAAACAGTGACTGCTTTGATGCCAAGTCCAGTGAGATGACCTTATCATTGATGCAAAGTGTGCTGGTTTAACTGGATGCAAGCACTCACTAAGTGAAAATACCCTTCACACACTCAAGAGTTACATAAACTGCAGCAGACCACAAGATGAAGAGCCAGTGAATTCTAGTTACACCTCAATGATGACATCCAGGCTGCAACAGTAACAGGTAATATCATAGGAATGTATGAGGGCATCAAGAAAGCCCTAGGCCTAACACAGTGCAATATAGCTCCCTTCAGATCCATCAACAGGGAAGTGATCACAGGCAAAAGCAAACAGATGGTAAGATGGGTGGAACTCTTCATGGAACTATATTCCAAAGAGCACATTGTTGTCACTTCAGCTCTCAACACCATTGAACCTCTGCCCACTACAGAGGAGCCAGATGCTGAACCAACAATAGACCTCCAAATTATTATTATTATTATTATTATTATTATTACATTCACCTCCAAAAGCTAGATGAGCATTTCCTTCCTGAAAAGAGAGCTAGACGGAAGGTGCACATCATTGTTACTAACCACACCTGCTTGGTTGTGACCGAGACTGCCACACCCACATCAACCTTATCAGCCACAGCCGATGCTGTTTAGGAGGCATTGACATTGTTTGGGCACATCATCTATAGTTGACTTGACAGACTATAGATGATGAATTGACTACTATCATCAACATTCTTATTCTTATTATAATTATTAGCATAATCATCGTTACTGTTATCATTATTAATATTATCATCATTATCATTTTTGTCGTCATTATTATTATTATTATTATTATTACTATTACTATTATTATTGCTATCATTATTAATATCATTATTATTATTAAAATTATTATCATCATCATTACTATCTTCTTCATCAATACATAATTATTACCATTATTGATGTTATTATTACTGTAGCTTTATTACTGTCAATACTGGTCACTAACTAAAATTTCTTTACATATAGTTTTAGTCATCTTCATGATCATTTGTCAATCATCACATTGTCATCATTATTGACATCATTACTTTCATGATAGTTATTGCCAATATTCTTTATTACTCCTATTCCTCCACTTGTTGATAATCAAAGGTACATTAGAAGAAAATAACAGAAACAAGTTTTTATGTGATAATTTATCATGAAATTGATGAAAGGAAAGTCACAAATCCCTTCCATACCTGAAACAGAGGGGACCACTGTAATTATTACAACTCTACAGGAATTATCATATTCTTTACAGGTTGACAAGTCAACCCAATTCCAGAAAAGGAACATCATCACAGGAAGAAACATGGATGTGTCCAAAAACTGTCTGTGTGTCATGTGTGTGTCAGGCAATGTATTGTCACATGAAAGCACTTGTCATTTGTAAGTGAGACCAGTCAAAGATCTTTTGCATCAAAAGATGGCCATTGACAGTATTTACCATTTGACTATCAACCTTCTGACAGCAAAGAAAATTTTTAATCAAGCCAGATGCATCAGCGTAACTGTGTCCAAAAGTTCAATGACATTAGAGGGAATGAATGCTGACAGGTTATCAGAACCTGGTAGGGGAAAAGCTCTGAATGAACTGGCAAAAGAAACTGAGTGTAAGCTATTAGAGCTTTTAAAAAAGAATCATGAAATAATATACAATTTGAGTTATGAAAAAATCTATTACAAAGGTTGAAGATGTATATTATGTTAATCTGTATGACCAGTCTTGCTTTGTTGACATATGAAAATAATTTTTTGTAAATACACTTGAAAGAATAAATATAAGAATATGATTTTTATATCAAGTCCCATATCTAAATAAGAGGATGTTTCTATTTTGTTTTGTGATCAGCATTCTACAAAGGAGAACATGAAAATCAAATTCTTAAGAAAGCATGGGTAAGGTATGCAGCATGCCACTATAAAGTAAAATAAAATAAAATGGTTTATCATGAATATTTATTTGTGCTTAAAGTATATTTCTTTTAGTAAAATATAGTGTTTCAGTAGCACACATATTGGACGGACTAGATTAATAACACACTGCAGTGTGGCAGAGATTCCTGACTAGAATTGTAATACATAAAGTAATGTTTTTTTGTGTGAATATCATCCGATATTCTTCTAAAACCAATCACATTGGAAACCTTAGCCTATTAAATCAAACATGATACAGACATGTTTATGTTATACATGATGTTGAGGATAAGTATGCAATAAACATAATATATATATATTAACTGCATAGCATCCAGTGGAAACTAAAGATTAACAGTTCATTTAGATATCTTAGCTAATGAAAAAAGGTTCTTACAAAGCAATTACAATAATTTATCAATTGACACTAAAACTTAATACTATTAACTTTGATACTGTATCTGTGTAACAGATTTCACCGTCTTCATTCTATAAATATAAGGGTGAAATAGATATTTAACTGTAAACAATTACGGCCAATTATATATATATATAAAAGTGTGTGTGTGTGTGTGTGTGTGTGTGTGTGTGTGTGTGTGTGTGTGTGTGTGTGTGTGTGTGTGTGTGTGTGTGTGTGTGTGTGTGTGTGTGTGTGTGTGTTTTTGTTTGTTTGTTTTTAGTACATCACAATGATATGAATCACAAATCTGTATCATAAATTTTCTGTAATCACAGACAGATTGTATAAGACTAAAAATAAATGACTGCATTAGCTAACTTTGTTATATAAATAAAATACATAGGCATGAATGTACATCCATATTTCAGTCACTGAATCTGCACATTAAGAATTCATATATAATAATCACTTTCCTTTATCATGTAACTGATTTTTTACAAACCTGAAATGACCAACTTCTAAAAGAATCACTGTGAATATAACTGTTGATATATCCCTAGGAAAATATTACCACAAAGAATTAATGGACATGTAACAATGAACCAAATGAAATTGATCAAACTTATTATTTCTTTTTGTACTAAAATACCTCATTTGAACACCGACCAAAATTATTCTAAAAAAAAAAGTACAGGAAAACACAAACACATCCACCACTTCCTTAGTCAATGTTATTATCGGCATTCTCCATTGTCGGTGTGCGGCAGAAGGGGCAGTGACCCTTCTGTAGGACTTGCAGTATGTAGTCATCTGTGTGGAACATCTATTTGGGAGACAAGGGATTGAGTATTATTCTCTTTTTCAAGATTAATTCCAATAAAGATACATGATAATATATATATATATATATAAAAAAAGTCAAAACAAAATAGCACATCCAAACTTAGAAAAATAAAACATGAAGGGGGAAACATGAATTTTAGAAGAGTAAGTGGACATATTTCCTATATACCTAAAACAACTTAAGAAAAAACTCTCCTTGTATTACCTTATTGCAGTGTGTGCAATGGGTAATTGGCACATCAGGCATAATATTTTTAAAGAACTGGAATCTCAGAGGCTTTGGCCAGCGGCAGATTATGACATCATGAGGCTCCATGGCTGCCAGAGCCTGACGACTGAGTGTAACAGGCTGGTACTCTGACCCTCCTTGCTGAAAAACAAGTTTAAAAAATCAATAACAAATTCATTTATAAGGCAAAAAATAAGGTTACACACTAATTAGTACATTAGGGATCAAAATAATGTGTATAAATATATATTTTTTTTTTCTTTAAAGTTCACAATTCTAGTCTTATTACCAGCTAATACTGTTCACCAACTTTAAAGAAATGTAACTCTCTCTGCCAGAAAGTCAGTGGTAAATGGAACTTCAAGATGGCATGACAAATGACATTCTTAAATCTTACATAGAAGCCCAAGAGATTGGAAGTGAAGGGATCACTGTTTTGCATGTGTGAAGGTGAGCCATCGAGCATGAGTGCCTGCGCATCGCCTGACTCAGTCTCTTTCCACCTGCTCTCTTCATTCTGTTCCTCCTCCCCCTCATGGGCTGATCCAACACGGTCTGCCTTTCCACTCCCAGATTGCTGAATCAAGTGGACTGCTTCTTCATCTGTGATTTCCTCCTCTACTACAAACTCCACAACTGGCAAGATCTCTGAAAACAAAATCATTATAAATAAATAAAGATTATTAATAATTAAGAAAAAAAAAAAATGAACAGAAAAATGATCAAACAAGAGAGAAATAAAGAAATATCCAATCATATCTCAAATGGAACTAATAACATCTATAATCCAAAAATTAGTGGCAACATTTTCACTCTCTTACCAAAGGACACAAATGAGTAAACAAATGGATGGCAACAGTTGACACACTGGTTGCCATTATTATTGACAAGAGGATTGGTTGTTGAACAGCGATAACAGAGAGGCTGGTGCTCCTCATTGTCGTGGAAAGGCTTGGCACGAATCTTAAGGGCAGCCAATTCAACGTCTTCCTGGAAGGTGTTTATATTCATATGAGCATAGATATTGAGCCTACTATAGCATCTCCTTCTCCTCTACTGTATGAAAACTAAGCTATTTATAAAATACAAGATATAACTACATCCAACTTACAGGCTGTGTGATATACACATAGTTCTTTCATCATTATGTCCTTCCCAGGAACTAAATTTTCCTAATTACTTGAATACACAAACTTCCCTAATTAAATAAAAAATCCAACAAAGTCTCTGTGACTGTAAAAATAAAATCAACAAAACATAGATATCTTTCAAATGCCAACCTGAAAGCGAAGTGGGATACGCAATGCCTGTAGCTTATCAAGGACATGTCGAGCCAACTTGTAGGCCTCAAGATTCCTTGCTTGTTTAGCAAGAGTATAAAGGGTTGAGCTAGTAAGTCGTTAAGGTTACTAAAATCACTTAGTATGCTTTCTTTGTCTACTATAGTTAGATTATTTACCATTAGCTGGAGTATTATTTTGTATGATAATATAAAACAATTCAAACTGAATATATAACATATTATAATCATCTGTTATTCACCTTACAGACACATAAGTAATCCTATTATATTTAACAAAACATGCAGCTTTTCTAATTTATTGTCATATTCAGCAGGAAAAGGATACAACATAGAGATTCCACTTGGTTGAGTAACCATCAACTCATGCATAAGGAATCTGGAAATGTTAAACAAAGCTTCTGGCATGTATGATGTGAAGGGTTCATCCTGTCCAGGGAAAATGAAGATAGTATTAAAAAAATGTATAAATCATGACAGTATTTTTTTAAAATAATTCATCATAATAACAATCCTATAACTTATACAGAAATGATAATTTTTGTTCATTTTTTATATATGCAGATTCAGGCCTCTTGACCTCTCACCATATAACGCTGGATTGTGTGATAGACATAATACATTGATGCCTTCTTTTGGTAATCCTTGAACTTTGTCATCATAGGCTCATATTCACTTTCACTGTAAAAAACAAAAAGAGTACAAATGAAATAGCTCTCATAAGGTA